GCAGACAGTCAACCGGATTTCAACTCGTCTCGTCATCGTGATCATCTATATACAGATAGCTCTATATCTATCTCGGTTAATTTTAGTTGATATAAACAACCGTTAGGTGAACAAAACTTTTATACTCTATAGCAACATGTTGCAAGAATATAAAAATTACGGTAGGGGCTTAACCTGACGGCTATATAAAGATAGCTAATTTAGCAGAAAAACAAGTATTACTCGATTTTACTGTAATTAACAAGTAAGTAAGGGTATACCATTTTGTATTTTCGGAACTAGCAAAGATCACCGATTGACCAGTATTTTCAGTAAAAAATCAGTCATATGCACTTGGTCCATATATTTGGTGTCTCGGTCCTTGAAAAGTATAGTACGATTTTGATAATTTTTGGGCGTAAGATGAAATACCTTGGAGGCACTATTCTTGCAAAGTTTTATTCATTGATGTTTGATTGGTATTCTGAAGAGTGAAAAATCGGATGGAATTTAAAAGTTTATCATATGACAATAGTACGCGTGATTGTCATCCGATTTCGCCCATTTTCACAACGTTATATTGTAGTTTTCATCATAACCGTTATATAGGGAGTGGGCGTGATTATTGTCTGATTTTACTCATTTTCACAGTGTATAAGGAAGTACTAAAAAGACCTCTTCTTAGCAAGACTGGTTTGTTTAAAAGATGCGACAACTTTTAAACCATTTTTGGCCCAAAAGTGTATCTCTCTACTGCGATCTAGTGTATCAAATTACAGTTTTGTATCTTAATTTAGTGCTATGTTATGGCACTTTATTGGGTTTCGTTTAATGTCGTTTTGTGGGCGTGGCAGTGGTCCGATTAAGCCCATATCCAATACCGACTTCCCTTGGGTGCCAAGAAACACAGTTTTATCAAGATATCTCATTTTTACGTACAAACGCATTTAAACATGACACAATATATACTATATCTATGGTCTGATTCCGAAATTGTACTAGCCTAACCACCACATGCATGGAAGACGTATATTGCCAATTGAACGTCTCAAATAATTGACCTAGTAGGATCCGCCACTTGGCGACACGTAGTCAGTGCTGACAATCCTGCCGATCTAGGTAAAAGAGGGTGCAAACCCCTGCTTTTTGCCACCACCACCCTATGGTGGAATGGCCCCCGATGGTTAACAGAATCCTCCGATAATGGCCACAAGTGCCCATGCGCATTATATATGCCCCAGAAAGTCGAAAAATCTACTCTTTCCATGCAATATCGGATGATGCTGACACTCAGAGTAGTTGCCTACATGATCAAATTTATAAAGTAGCTAAAAACTAAAGTTAACGTAGCATTTCCAATATAGCGCCAATGCGATACATTAACGCACCTACACTTACAAAAAGCAAAAGTGGGAGTTATCGCATCTATCTAAACGCTCCTAATATGGGTGGTTTATGGGAATACAGCTTCAAATTCTACTTCAAAAAAGTAGATAGATATTACAAATATAAATATATCGAAGTTACCACATTACTACCTCTAGAAAAAGCTGTTCTCAATTCCCGGCCAATCACTGTACTCTCGCAAGATCCCTCTTCAATGGTTTTAAAGGAGCACCCATCCTGGCCATACGTGGGGTGGAGTTGCTATCCTATAAACTAAAATAAAGAAATTGCAAAGAAATGCCGCTAATACAGAAAAATCAAATAAACAAGCTACTTCAAGCACCAACTCTTATATAAAATACATAACATCCATATACAACAAAAAAAGTTTCTTACACTTACAGCATGTATGCCGCCTCCTCGGCTGCTCCATCAGCAGTACGCCGAAATATATATAACAGCATATACGTTCAATACTAGACAAAATATTCGAATAGGGGGCCCAGGATGTTTAAATGAGTAGAAACTTCTCCCGTCAAGTACACCGCTTCACCCGGAAAATAATGACACACCCTAGTATAACCCTCTACAATACACCACACTCATACATCACCACACGGGACAACACAACACGCCACAGCATTGCGCCTGTACACCACCTCAGCAAACAAAAAGGATGGTCTCCGCAGCAGATACACCTCATTCAATAACATAGCGATTCTGCGCGCAACTCACATCATTCGATACGACAACGATCAAGTGCGCTACAATACGTTTCGTCAACAAGCCTGAGCACCTGTTCAGTTTATTTTATATTTTTCATGACACCGATCCTGACGATACATTTTTTCGTATTGGGTTATTTGGTTCGGCCACCTAACATATTTTTAAAATTTAATATTAATGTATACACTTTGTATAATATCTACAACATTGAAAATACAAAGTACAAAAGTTAAATAAATTGCTTACGCCCCATACGCGGGCATTTTTTATAAAAGATTTGTGCGACCTTGTTGCAAGTGTTGTTTTATATAAATAGTGTGCGCTCCCCAATATCTTGGGTATAATGTTAAGTCCTTTTTTTCTTAATAAAAATATCATTAACGTTATTGTATGTATTTTAAAACTTCGAGAAATGACGGAGGCATTATGTGCGGCATTCCAGATTTTTTTTTTAACCAAAGCTATTAATCGGGGAAAATTAAAGGTAAATTATTTTTCAATAACACATATTTTTAACCACTTATGTGGGGAAACCAATTGAACCCGGTTAAATTATGCGGGTAAATTTACGCGTATTTTGTACACAATATATTTTTGACCGATCAGATGGTTCAAATAAGCGGGGGATACTGTACTATAGTTTGGTTTGCACCAGTATATCCAATATGATGTTTTTCGCCATTCCAGTTTGCTTCTTACCATATATTTTGATCAATATGTGTGACATTTTAATAAAATTAAATGGACTTGATTTCTTACTTATAATGTGTTTAGCGCTGAATACTTGTATGAATGAAATCGGTCTAGACCTTTGTCTAAGCCCCATATCCTAACATACCCAATATATTAAATTAGAAATTTGGTCGACTTTATATCCGATATATTTGGATTAGCATAGCAGCACAAATATGATAAATATAGTGCTATGAGTTACGTTTAATATATCTAAACATCTCGGAGCTTAATCAATATCTAGTAATGAAACTAGTTCCATGTTCTCAGCAAAAATTTTAAGTGACTAGATTACATTTAATGTATTCAATAATCTAGATTAACCTACCGTTGGGAGTTATAAAACAGCTATTTTTGACGTTAAAAATTTCACATCGTTTAATATTTATTAAAATAAAACATTGTAATGTCATACTTTGTTAATGGAATTAATGGACGCATTTTTTGATTTTCCAAAGGTGCCAGGTGAATTCAGATGCATTGCTTTTAATTTATTTGTTGGTTTACATAATTTTTCTCTTGGCTGTGCTAAATCAGCTGTGATAAGTTTTCCTTCTGACAAACAGATGGCGCTAAATCAAGGTCGCACTGGGAGATTTCGAGTAATATTGGTGTATGGCGAAATTTTGCTAAGTACAGTAGATTAGTGAGATAATTTACTCAACAGCCTTAATCTTGGGATTAGGTGTCGGTCGGAACATGGTATAAGTGAGTCTATTATCTATAATGCGAGTATTAGGGTGGGTCAGAATTAAATAACTTTTTTTTGGTTTCGATCTTGTAGGAAATTCCTCAACAGAAAAGTTCTCTACAATTTTGTTTTGGAAACTAGCGGTTTTAATGATATTAACGGTTGAAGTTTAAACTTCTAGTGTTTTAGGAAATTTACTACTCTTCCCTTTACAATTAAAAGCTCATACTTGGAGAGACTTTCTTACTATAGAGGTGTCTAAGAACCTATTTTTCAAAGTATTTCAAAGTTGGTATATTTTGATGAAACTTACTACATATGATTCTTAGGACAAGGGAGATCGCAATTGCAGATGGGCGTAATTGGACAACTGCCACGCCTACAAAATGCCATTAAACGAAAATCTCTAAGGAGCCATAACCAAGCACTAAATTAAGATTCAAAACTGAAATTTGGTACAGGGAATCGTAGTAGTGAGATACACCTGTGGGCTAAACAGTTTTTAAAGTTGGCGTAGCTCCGCCCTCTAAAACTCCCAAACCGCTGAAGCTAACTCAACCAAACTTGCTGAGAAGAAGTATTTTTAGTATACAACACACAAAATGTCATAATTATTGAGTTTATGGGACAAAATCCAGATATTTTAAGAGGATTTACAAAACGTAATTTAACACCCAAATGCGTCTTTATTCAGTCGATATTGTGATATAAATCTGTCAAGTAAGCATGTATACAAACAAACAAGTAAAGGCAAGCCAAACTTCACATGCGACTCTCCCAGTGCATTAAGAGGATTATTTTGATCTTTTCTTGTAACATCTTCCTTTTAATTTTTTCGTTGTTTTTTTCTTCCAATAAAATAAAAGCTAAAATAACGGAACTCATTGTAAACTTTAGTAAACTTTTTTCGGTATTTCAAATTTATCAAACACCTACAAATTTATTTATTTGCAAGTTTTGTCACAATAGTAAACAGCTGATTCGAATATTGGTTTTGCATATGTTCGAAAAGACGAGAATCCAATCAGATTCTGTGACACCATTGAAAATCAGAATTGGTTTGCAATTCTGACAACTACGCAAATTCGTCTTGGATTCCACAACACCCCTGATTGTCTTTTTTTAGCGCGGTTAATTATAGTATATATTTTCTAAATTTAATCGAGAACATTTCTCTGTACTACACAGTATACGAATAATTTATGCACACATTAGGAAAACTGCAAATTTTATCATGTCGCCGAAAAGTGTCCTGTTATGTTGTTTCGTCAGATTGACTCTTCTTTACTTAGCTTAGCATTTTACAAAGAATTAATTGAGGGATTTTAATTTCATTTCAAAAGGTGTGCAAAGTATACTTGTACGTATATATGTTCGATATCTGTGAGTTTTGAGTACATATGTATATACATATCAATACTTATTGTTAAAAAAATTGTTTGGTTTTTCTCAAATTTCTGATAAATTATTTTTCGTTTTTTTTTTCTTTCTAATATTCATTTGTACAATTTTAAAATTTAAAGAATATATATAGTTCGATAAAAATCCATTTTTCTTCGCTGTTTTGCTACATTTTATTTCCCATAAGAAAGTTTGGAATATATTATTAGTCTAGGAGACAATCTCTAATTTACTCAACTAGTAGGCAAACGTGGCAGTAATGGAGCATGAGCTGCACAAACCGACTATTAAAATTGCCTAGGTGTACCTTTAGCGACTATTTTAAAAGCTTTCAGGAGTTAGAAGAAAAGGAGACGATAAAACAGCTATCGGTCGAGGGTTCCTTAACGACGTATCGGAAGTTGCTCATATAAAACTATTTATAGTGATGAACTTTATCAGAAGCACGTGGTGGTTCAGAGAGGAGACAATAGAGAGAAGGAATATTAGTCCCGGTGGTATCACAATGGACCTCCTATGGGCCTAGGTGCGTCGTCAGACATCCACTCTTCCTACTTACCCAACTACCTAACATTGGATGTTATGTTTATTTAATATCCGAACTATCTGTCTTTCAGTTGAAACAAAAACATTATGGTTACACCTACTTGTAAACCGCCCAATATATTTTTAGATTTTGATGGTTTATATCATAGATTTCATATTATTTACCGAACACTGGGTACACTTTCATACCCAAGAAAATAACTATTAATACTTAACTAATTACACTATATGTAACTTGTACGAGGATACATTTAGAGTATTTAAAGAATAAGACATTTTTATTTAAAAAAGTTATTAAAATGATGTCAAAGTATTGATTTTCTTAGTTTTAAATATTTATTGAAGTATTAATTTATATAATATATTTTCCCCGGAAGTTATAGTAATAAACTACCCCAAATCAAATATTGTAGTTATAAACTACTTACTACTACTATTTATATAAAAGTATACATTGAAGTTATCTGTCGGTCTTACAGTAATTTGTGATTAGTGTAATTAAAAAAGATAAAACTGATCTAAGATATGTAAAACAAATTACTAATATTATTATTAATTAAACATATTTTCAATATTCTCGTGGATATGTACTAGTCTAATTTTTGTTACTTTATACCATACAAATTCTTGTTTTCAATTTAAAGGAAATAATTGTGATTGAAAATAGTTTACCATCAAACATTCAAACCAAAACTAATTAATTTTAGGTATACCTAAAACTGTTTTAAATCACATATCGAGATCGACAATATTACGGATATTATTACTTTGAAGTTTTTCTCACCGCCAAACTGAATTGATGCCAGATACATGCTATATATGTATCGTTTGTCAAACTTCAGGAGTAAAATAGTAAACAAATATCAAAAAAAAAAAACATACACAAATATGTATGTCAGAGAATTTACCTTCTATTATATACATACATATACTCATGCTTATCATATACATAAGTATATGCGAACAGATAATGCACTTACAATTTACTATTAATTAAATCGTTTACTTGTCGCGTGTCAATTTTAACTCAGCTACATGTTCCGATTCGGAGCATATATATGTTTTGATAATACTATTGTATTACTTTTTTGACCTTGATGCTTTTTGATTTTTTCGCTAACAATCCGCTATCTCCTTTTCCAAATCCATTTTAACGTTTCGCCCAGAAATCTGACCTTGAAAAAAAATTTCATTTACATGAAAAATAGGTGATCCTTGTATAAAATTAATAAATAAATAATTTCTTCTTTAAAGTATATCGTAATAATCTGTATATGTGTGCTTAACATTGGCATTAAAGTAGCCCTACAATAAATTGCTGATGGGTACCCCAATACACTCACATTTGTTAGATTAATGATTCTTGAGGATTGAAGAACTCTAAACACTCTAGTGATCAAGTTGTTGTTATTTTATTCGATTTTGACTTCGGGCGGCACCCGCTTTTCAATTGGTTCTGCATATTTACGAATGGTTGTTGCTCCCGACGTAGATGCGGATAACACACACACATTAAAAAAATATTATACGCATAGTGTCAAAACTATTTTTCTTTATATGTACAAACATATTTGATTCACGAATTTATCGGCTTTTTCACCTCAAAATGAAAAAATGCGTATACACTAGTTTAATCAATACTTGACAGGCGACGGTTAAAAATAGTTCAACCATTTCATGAAAATTTTTTTTTTAATATAAAAGTTCTATGTTTCTATTATACATAAGTAACAGAATCCCATAGAATCAAAGTATTTAGTTATTTATTACTCTTAATTAATAGCTGCATTACTCTCTAAGTTCGGTCTTTTGCAAACTTCAGTTGCTTTTTGCACGGTTTTCAGTTTTTTTTATTAAAATCAATATTATACATACAAGCGTATGCATATGTAAATAATGCCTGATACTCATATACTTTGAAATGCATATGCATATTTGAACCATTCTAACGATGGTTTGAATTATCCTCAGAATATTTTTCTTTTTAATGTGCTTATAATGGCACTTTATGAATATGCATGAATTAGAAATTGTAAATAGTTTATAGTATGTCATACATAATTCCTTATTCGGATTTTAAGTCCATTTTAACATATGTATGTATGTATGTACATAGTATGTAAGTGTATACTATGTTATCTGAGAGTTTTTAGTACATATGTATATATGTACATATAAATTTATATTGTTAAAAAAAATTATTTGGTTTTCTCAGCTCATCCAATATGAACAGCAGAAAGTAAAGAATGAATTAATAATTAAGAGTAAAGAAGATTCGATAAAGATTTTTTCTCTTACTTACCGTTGGGTGTTTGTTCTTGTTCTCTCATAAACACAAACATAATACATTTGTTAATATACATACATGCATATAAAATATAGGTATTCTATGTATGTATATGCAAGTACTTGTTTACTTAAGTTTATTATAACAACAAATGTGATTATTGTGAAAAAATTTATTGGCAAGAATATTCAACAAATGAATATGTTAAATTTTTTTTATTAATTTTTTACATGTTTATTGAAAACTACAGTTTCTAGAGTACGCTAGTCTGTAGATTTGTAAAAAGAGATACTTAAAATTGAGGCATTGTACTAATTTTTCTCTTACGTGAACAACAAACAGCTGAACATAAATCCCAGAGTAGCTTCTTTGACTTGGGCTTAAAAGAAAGCTCTTGCTCGTTCAATCAGTTATGGATTTTGGTTGGTTCCGCGGATGAGGTGATTCGACTTATTATTGTGGAAGCATGTATGTGTACTAAGTAGCGAGAGAGCGTTTTTAAGGGATGTATTTAACGCTTCGTTTAGTGGTACAGATATACATACATACATATATGTATGTACATTGTGCAGCGAGTTAGAGAACATTTTTTCTTTTCTATTGTATTACTTTAATTATACAAATGAATATTCTATACGGTTTTATAATGCAGTTTTATATATTTTGTTAGATTGTTACAATTATATATATATAATATATATATTTATTCAAATGACTTCAAATTACCACTTTTGTTGATTATTTTATGCGAAAATCACTAATACAGCTGTTGTGGAAAAGTAGTAAAGTGTTTAAACGTTTATAACAGGCATTAAAATATACTACCAAATATAATATGATGCAGTCTTTAACAAGTAACGGGGTAACTACTCCCCTTCGGTATGGATATTGGATAAATAGACCTATAGGTCTGTGCTAGTGTTTTAAAGCAAACTCTGTACAATCGAAATCTACAGACAAATAAATGCTTTTGTACATGTCTTTAAAATATTAGTAATCTTGCTCCACTGTAAATGTCACCTCTATGAAAGAGTATTTATTTCGTTTTCATTGTATACGATACGAGTCGATGTTGAATAGTGAAACGTCACTATTTCGCACATTGTCGCTGGGATCTCCCAGTCGTCCACCAACTGTTAAATGCAGGCAAGCATTCGCAAATCAGAAACAGTCTTCATTGACAATTCACAACGTCAAGACTTTCCTTTTAGCTACAGTCGGCTTTGAACTTGGCGAATAGAATTTTAAATTTTACTTGTATAATTTTGTCAGTGCTGGAAATACTTGAATGTAATACAAACGGAAATTTTCCATTTAACGGTGAATAAAAGTGGGTGTGCTGAAATCAATAATTTAAACGTTTTTTTTGTATACAGCGACCAAAAGAACTGGAAATATCTGTACATTTTGATCCATAAAACTGTTTAAGTGTCCATTTGCATTGAAGTTTAATAAAATTTTTCAATTTCAAGGATTTTCGTCCGGCTTTGGTTAATTTGGAGAAAAACTATTTTAAATATAGAAAGGAATGCATTGCGGTTTTAGTGGTGTCACAATATATTGAATAACACATCGTAGAGTAACGGAATATCCCAAAGCACTTAACTTGGAAAGTGTATTGAGAACATATCATACAAAACAACGAGCATCAGAAGGAAAGGACATTTCTCACGAATTAACTGCATTTCGGTATGTACCTCAATATAAAGTTGTATATGTATGGTAAGGAAAATAACTTCAAAGTAAATACACAAGGGTTTAAATATATTCATCTTATGTATATGCATAAGAAAATACATTTTTTTTTTAAATAAGTCACTTCTATGTACTTACATACGAACGCTTGTATGTATGCACTTATACTCATTTAATCTTTGCATTTATAATGTTTATCTTTTATTTGTTCCCCTATAAAAACGATTACAGTAAACTACTCTGCATTCAAAAAGCTGCTAATTAGCTACTATTTTCCGTTAAAAGTAAATTTATTATGTCAATATTTAATAATAACAAAAAAATTGTTTAAAGCCAAAGCTCCATCTTTTAAAAGTTCCATAATTTAATGGATTACATGCCTATATATATATATATATATATACAGTTACAAACATAAGTGTATATTATATGTGTATGCATATGTATTTGCCTTATTGTATTTAAGTATCCCATCTGGTATTTATTTCCTTGGCCGATATCTGTTATATATATTTAAAAGGATAACCCAATACAACACTTCAAATATGGCTTCTAAGTTTATCTAGATAATTTATAATTGATGAACTTTGATTTACTGTACTGTAGGTCTTCCTTTCAGCAAATATTATGTAGCATAACCATGTTCTTATGTATGGATGGGTATATTGTGTATATATACATAGCATATGCTTTTACAATCAAATGATAAGATGAAATGGCACGTTCAAAAATTTTTTGCCGTATGCAGTGTGATTCTTGAACAAATATATAAGCATACTTAATTTCATGCCTACGTACATACCTATGTATGTATCGCAACAAAGTAGAGAATAAATTGAAGAATTAAACAAGCTCTAAAATAAATGTAAATTCGATTTGTAAAAAACAACTGCTTAATTTACTTCGCCCTTCTTAACATACATACATATGCATATTATGTATTACGTAGGCACTATTACGATTTCTTTGGCGCCGCGATCTTAAGGTATGGACTGATAGAGGAGGTCCTTAGGATCAAAGATGTATGTACTTATATCTGCCTCAGATTTATAGTTCGAGATATTTATATTTAACGTTCAATAATTGTAAAAGTAATGCACGCTATTTTACTGTGTTTAACACACTCTGCACACCCTTTTCAATTTATATATTTGCAATTACACTGTATACATTGAAATATATCCAAAATATGGATTTATTGTTTGTTTTTTAAGAAAATAAACGTACTTTAAAAACAAGTAAGGAAGGGCTAAGTTCGGATGTAACCGAACATTTTATACTCTCGCAAAGTCAAATAGTATACTCGTTTGAGATTTCTTTGTGGATTGACTGATATTTTCGGTAGAAGGTCAACTATAGGTCCACATATTTAGTACTTAGGGGCTTAAACAGTTTTGGTTCGATTTAGACAATTTTTGGCCACAAGGTGGCATACTTTAATCGCATTATTATTCACGCAAAGTTTTATCCCGATACAGTCATTGTTGCCTTATTTGCATAGTGGAAAGTGAAAGAATCAGATGGAACTTAAAATGGTGTCAATAGAAGTCCTAAAAACATTTGCTTCCAGTGAATTTTGTTATTATAGCATTAGCGGTGCCCCTCCCTAATGTGATCCTGTGTACCAAATAAGAGTCTTGTATCTTATTGCGGAGCTTAGTTATGGCAATTTATGCGTTTTGTGGGCGTGGCAGTGGTCCGATTACGCCCATCTGCAATACCAACCGTCTCACGGTACCAAGAAACATGTCTACCAAGTTTCATAAAGATATCTCAATTTTTACTCAAGTTAGAGCTTGCACGGACGGACAGACAGTCACCCGGATTTCAACTCGTCTCTTCATCCTGATCATTTATATATATATAACCCTATATCTAACTCGATTAATTTTAGCTGATACAAACAACCGTTAGGTGAACAAATTTGTGTATTTACATTTATGATACATTAAAGATAAGTAATATAATATTTCGCACCGAATTCCTTTCAGCACTAGCGGGCTTCGGCCGCGCTTAAAAAAAATAACCCTGGTCGGTCCAATACCGGGGTGTCCATAGTTCTTTTGCGTCGAACTTATTTCTGTACAAATGTATTAATTTTTCCATTACGTATACATAGTATGTATGTAGGTTTTAATTTCCTTTTTTTTTTTTAAAACCTTTGTATTTATTTGAGAGTAAATTGAAATTATTTATAAAAATATGTTTTCCCAAAAGAATCTTAAATTTAAATGCGCACTCAACAGACAACGACACATTGTTAAAAAGTTTAAATGTTCATGACAACATTTAATATACATTCACCTCGATTAGTGGACAGATAGCGGGATTGTGTTCTATAGGATTCACCTTTGGAATAACACATGAAGAAACATTGTACTTACATATGTACATGTGTTTAAATAAGCAAAAAAATTCCTATTTGTAATTTATATAATCAAAATCGTAATACTGTTTCGAATATGTCACATGAAGTTTTATTTTAATTAAGTATATTCGGACTAGGGTTTTTAAGGTGAATAAGGTGGTAATTTGAATTAAATATGCCTTTGGTTACTTACTAAATACTTATTTACAGCCTAGTTGCCTTGGTTTGATTATTGGTTAGCATACTTAAATGTACTTGTATGTATATATTTATACACAATATTATGTTTGATTATTGATAATCTATACATATGTACAATATACATATGTACATTTAAATAAATTTATATATGTGGAATGTATGCCCAATATATATACTAGATGTAAATATGTATATTTTTTGTATATATTTATAATGCAACTTGTTAAATATACATATATACTCAAAATAAAACCGTATACTAGCTGAGTGTCATTAGGTAAACTTTCAACTGCCCCAGCAAAATAAGTATAATGTTAACCTTCACTTCTACTAGAATGATTTTACCGAGCATTATGACTATATAAGTATGTATGTATAAACATTTTGGGAAGAAAGTGAATAGATTACGTTTTCGGAACTCATTCTAATGAAATACTACTAACTAAGGGGACACATTCTAATTACTTAATTGGTTTCTATTTTGAATTGATTACAATAATTGCTATTGCTAAAAAACATAATTTCTATCAGACAATGTCGACTTTTTTGTGTACCTTACTTATATCGATTTTATTTTATTGTTCTACACACAACCTTCTAACTGTGTGTCATGCATCGTCGTAATTGATTACACATTGTCACTTCCGATGGCGTAAACATGTTATTAGGTCTATCTATATTTCTAAATCCTTACACAGGCTATCAGAGTAAATCAAAGAAAAGCTAAATCCAAAATCACATTTTACATCTTAAAATCTTTGACAGCATTTGTAGTGCCTGGAGCTTTGAAGGGCTTACATATGTATGTACATATACAAGTCAATATTATGGTTATTAGCCTTAATTATGTAGATACATACATATGTACATAATATGTATGTATTTCTGCGTTACAGGGTTTTAAGTTCCACGCCTGTTATCATCCTTCAGACGGATCATGTACGAAAACATTTTTTCGTATTACTACTTTCCTTTTATATACAATATGACCGCATGAAATACTTTGCTAACAATTTGTTAAAATAAAAAAAATAGTTTTGCTATATACATACATATGTACTTATATGAATTTGCGTTTATAAAATTATTTTAAATTGTAGCAAATTCGACATAGATACATAAATATTTAGGTAAGATTATATGCATAATGAAATTTGAAAAAAAAACATCAAACTTACTAGATTAAAATAAATACGCTTTCCCCAACCCAACTATTCGTAATACAATTATCACTAAAACCATCAATGAACTTGAAATCACGCCACCTTATCTCACTTAAAAAAGAGAAAAGTAAAACTACAGAGAACAGCGAAAGAGAGAATTACTAGCAGGGGAAACAAATAAAAGAAAAAAGCTTTCATGCGTTAGATGACGAATAAACATTCTCTTGAGTAAGAGGCACACGAACTCGTGGTCTGATAATGCGTGGTCAATTTTTTTGTGTGGTAGTTATGAGCGTTATTACTACAATACATCGCCGGTAGGTATAAGGATTATTGTTTATTTAAAAATTTAAATTACTTTTAAATAAATATTGTGTGGAAAAAATCCAAAAACCTATAATTTTACTTTTATATTCATATATATGTACATACATACGCATACAGGTATAAAACTGCAAAATGCTTGAAATTTATTTAATATATAAATATATAAATTTATATATGCATACATATGTACATGTGCAACCCATATGTATGTTCATACATACATATGACCGTTATTTAACAGTACATTTAGGAAAACAATGTATAAATAAATATATCCCATTTAGAACTACATACATATGTATGTATTTCCTCACCAATTTGAATAATTTTTCTCTTTGTGTTTGCTTATTATTAGACATCATACGATTTTATTGTCGATTTTAATATACCGATACAAACAAACAAATTTATTGTAAGTTAATAATTTTCATTTTTGTTTCACATACTACAAAAAAATAGAAAAGTAAAATAAATATTGAAGTTAAAGTTAATGTTCGAAGTGTACTATTTGTACATTTTGTTATAATAACAATGTTCATAGGTACACTTTATAAATATGAATATAAGTAGCTATATAAGTATGTACATATAGTCGTATGAATCAAAACATAAGTACATATGGAGGTACGAATTCTATTTCAAACTATTAAAAAAAAGAGATATTATACTTTTACCCTCATCGCTCTCACTGAAATATATAACAAGCTGGAGAGCATTTGAAGTAAACGCAAGAATCACCTGATTTTGGATTTGTATACCAATGTTTTTGTTAGACATGCGGCGGCAAACACGCCATTCTGTTTATACTTAATATCTACATTTACACATTTATAGACAAGCATGCATGCATGCACATTCTCGTACATAAAATTCCTCTTAGTATATAAATATATTCGCTCTTAGTTTCTCATCTCTCTTTTAACACATTTCATCTGTAATTTATTGATACAGTAAACCTCATAAATAAAGACCCTTTGTGGTTGAGGTAATTCTAGTCAAATGCTGTGAATTGTTTCTTAGGTGATACGTAATAGTGTTAATATATTATATATGTACATATATTGATATACTTACAAAGTATGTTTAAGAGATAAATATTGATAAATAAAATTACCAGACTAGTTTTTATTATAATTTAACTAAGAGGATTTGTACTTTTAGTTCCATCAAGCTGATACAAAACACCAGTAAAAATAATACTTCTAAAACTGGTGCTGTTAACAACATACCAGCGTCATTACAAAAAAAAGGAAACTCGCGTTCAAATCGTCGAAAAAGACGCAATAAACATCAGCAAAATTCTGCAGAATCAACTTGTTCACAACAATCGAAAGAGCATATAGTAATAGCTCACGAAATGCCTGCCCGTTTTGCCGAAGACGTTATAACCGACAATGAGCGTAGTGTTCCTTTGAATTTAGGTGGACACTACGACCATCATTCAGCTTTAAATGACGATATCGTAATAACTGGGTTTTCTGGCAGACTCCCTGAGAGCTCTAGCATTGAGGAGTTTAAACGAAACCTCTATGATGGTGTGGATTTGGTCAATGATGATCCAAGACGTTGGGAACGAGGTAACGTAACAAGGTTTAAAACATTATTTTTGCTATGTTAGTTTTTTTCATATTCTGAATTGCAGGTCTTTATGGTTTACCTGATAGAATCGGAAAAATCAAAGCTGAAGATTTGGAAGTTTTCGACCAACAATTTTTCAGTGTCTCTGCAAAACAAGCTGAATGCATGGATCCTCAAATGCGTATGTTGCTTGAAGCTACATACGAAGCTATTATAGATGCGGGTCTCAATCCTGCAGAGTTACGTGGTTCTCGCACCGGAGTTTATATTGGCGTTTCTAATTCTGAAACCGAGAATCATTGGTGTGCAAATGCAGATCGAGTAAATGGATACGGTTTGACAGGTTGTGCACGAGCAATGTTTGCAAATCGCATTTCATACACATTTGATTTCAAGGGTCCAAGTTTCGCAGTTGATACGGCCTGCTCTAGTTCATTATATGCACTATCTCATGCCTTTACGGATATGCGCGCTGGAAGATGTGATGCAGCCATAGTCTGTGGTTCTAATTTGATTTTGAAACCAGAGATGTCATTGCAGTTTAAGCGGTTAAATATGTTAAGTGATAGTGGTATGTGCAAAGCTTTTGATGCTACAGGAGCTGGTTACGTACGTTCCGATGGATTGGTAGTATTGCTTTTACAAAGAACATCAGTGGCAAAGCGAGTTTACGCATCGATTTTGAACGCTCGAACAAACACTGATGGTTTTAAGGAACAGGGTATCACTTTTCCTGACGGACGTATGCAAAATCGCTTAATTCGTGAAAGCTATGAGGAAATTAACTTGGATCCTAATGAAGTCATATATGTTGAAGCGCATGGTACTGGTACCAAGGTTGGAGATCCACAGGAAGTTAATTCGATTACAGATTTTTTTTGCAAAAATCGTCCAACTCCATTATTAATTGGTTCTGTAAAATCGAATATGGGACACTCAGAACCCGCCTCAGGTGTTTGCTCAATTGCTAAAATTTTAATTGCTATGGAAGAAGGCGTAATTCCTGCAAACTTACATTATAGTGAACCGAACCCTGATTTATACGGTTTGAGCGACGAACGACTGAAGGTAGTCGACAAAAATCTTCCCTGGAACGGTGGCATTATTGGACTTAATTCTTTTGGTTTTGGGGGAGCTAATGCGCACATTATTCTCAAATCAAATCCGAAACCAAAAACTATTACTCCTCGGGATGGTCCACCAAAACTGGTTATATGTTCCGGTCGAACAATGGACGCTGTTCAAGACCTGCTTGAAGACGCTGCCACACATCGTGACGATGATGAGTATTTAGCTCTAATCAACGGCATACATACTAAGCCTATCTCGCTTCATTATTATCGTGGATATGATGTGCTAACCTCTAAGGGTTCTGTGCAGCGGGAAATAGTAGAGTGTTCTGATGAAAACCGTCCTATTTGGTTTGTCTATTCTGGTATGGGCAGTCAATGGGGAAGTATGGCTAAAGATCTCCTCCAATTTGATGTGTTCAATAAATCAATTCATCGGTGTGCAGAAATTTTGCGTCCTGAAGGCATTGATCTACTGGAAATTCTAACACGTTCTACTGACGAAAAATTTGCAGACATCGTTAGTTCATTTGTTTCAATTACGACTATGCAAGTTGCTCTCACCGATTTGTTATCTTCACTTGGTATCCACTCCGCCGGTATTGTTGGTCATTCCGTTGGTGAGCTTGGTTGTGCATATGCAGATGGTGCTTTGAGCGCTGAACAAGCTGTTTTGGCTACATATTATCGAGGACGCGCAATTACAGAATCAAATTTACCCAAAGGTAAGATGGCTGCCGTAGGACTAGCCTGGGATGATGCTCACAAACGTGTACCATCTGATTGCTATCCAGTTTGCCACAATAATCAAGATAATTGTACGATTGCTGGTCCGGGCGACTCCATTGATACGCTAGTAGCACAACTAAACTCTGAAGGAGTATTCGCCAAGGCTGTTAGTTCATCTGGTTTCGCCTTTCATAGTAAATATATTGCTGGCGCAGCACCAAAACTAAGGCAAATGTTGGAGAAAATTATTCCAACGGCTAAAAATCGCTCTCCACGTTGGGTAAGCAGTAGTATCCCAGAAAGTGCTTGGAACACGCCTGTAGCCAAGCAGTCATCAGCAGCTTATCATGTAAACAATATGCTTTCACCTGTCCTTTTCTACGAAGCTCTACTGCATATTCCAGCAAACGCCGTTTGCATTGAGATAGCACCTCATGGCTTATTGCAAGCCATCCTCAAGCGAGCTCTTGGTCGTGACGTTTTAAATATTAGTCTTGTAAAACGAGGTCATCCGAATAATGCGGAATTCCTTTTGACCAATATTGGCAAATTATATGCAGCTGGGGGGCAACCACAGATACAAAATTTAGTACGGCCGATTTCCTACCCTGTTGGGCGTGGAACCCCTATGTTGAATTCAAAAATCGGATGGGATCATTCTCAGAGATGGGTAGTGCCAAAATATGGAGCTGCGAAATCTTCAGGCGATACAGTTATCGAAATTGATTTGTCAAGTGATGACGATTCATTCATTGTGGGTCATACAATTGACGGGCGTATCTTGTTCCCTGCCACTGGTTATATGACTTTAGCTTGGATGACATTCGCAAAAATGCGTGGTGTCGAATTCAATAAGACATCTGTAGTTATGGAGGATTTGATATTCCATCGTGCAACTATTCTAAACAAAGAAAATGTTACTAAATTTGGCATTAACTTTTTCGATGGCACTGGAGCTTTTGAAATTTGTGAAGGCGGCAGCTTAGCCATGTCGGGAAAAATTAAAATCGTCGATAATATTACTTTGGAAGAATTGCCTTTGAAATCACTCTCCCCTCAGTCTGTTGCCAGAGAATTGGTAGCAAATGACGTGTACAAGGAATTGCGTCTGCGTGGCTATGATTACGGAGGTATTTTCCGTGGAATTATCTCATCAGATATCTCTTCTCGTACTGGTAAATTACAATGGGTGGATAACTGGATTAGTTTCATGGATACAATGTTGCAGTTCAGTATTTTGAGTAAGGATTTGCGTGAACTTTACCTACCTACTCGTATTGAAAAAGCAGTAATTAATCCAGCCAAACATATAGAGATTTTATCACAATTATCAGAAGAAGATCTTATAAAAGTTGGCGTACCTGTCTATATGTACAGCGACATTAATGTCATAAAAAGTGGAGGAGTTGAGTTCCGTGGGCTGAAAGCTTCATTAGCACAGAAACGACCAAATGCGCAAAAACCTCCAACATTAGAGCGCTACACATTTGTTGAGAATTCCGGAAACGCTGGGGCTCATGCTCTTTCTGTAGCTTTGCAAATTGTCATTGAAAATGCGGAACGTTCTTTTAAAATCAAGGGAGTGGAACTCGCAAATGGACGCAGTCCCGACTCTTTGGTGGCTGGAAAGCTAGTGCAGTTGATTGAAGGGGAACCTGCTGTTGCTGCTGATGTAGCTGTGGCCACTGCAAGCAAGGATGAGGACAGCATTAAAACAGCTTTCAGTGATTTTGGTATTCGAGTGATTTCGAAAAATGTGACCAAGGAACCAGTTGAGCAAAACTGTAACTTCTTATTTGGTAGTGACGTACTATCCCGCCCTGATACTGCGGTATTGGAGAATAGTATTGCAAGTATCAAAGAAAATGGATTTCTAATTTTTGACGAAAACGTGAATTCTTACAAGAAATCTGGGTCGGAGTTATTGACCAAATATGGTTTTGTTGTCGTTCAAGAATTATCCAAAAGTGATTCTAGGATTCTTATAGTATCAAGGCGTGCCATAGATTTGCACAAACGAAAATCAGAAATTATTAATGTAACGGACAAAAACTTTGGTTGGTTAGAGAAATTGAAACTTGCACTTTCGAACGCAGCAGAAGATGAGAAGTATATATATATTGTCAGCCAAGGGGAAGAACTTTTTGGAGCTGTTGGCTTAACAACATGTGTCACTTACGAAAATGGTGGTAAATATGTTAGAACCGTCTTCATTCAAGATGCTAACGCCGAAAAGTTCTCTTTGACTTCTCAATTTTATTACGAACAACTACGTAAAGATTTAACTTCAAATGTACTTAAACATGGTAACTGGGGTACATTCCGACATTTGAAATTGGAAAAAGAACTTGCAACATTGCAGGTGGAACACGCTTATGTAAATGCGCTTGTAAAAGGTTAGTAAAAATATTCATAATTTACAATATAGCATTGATTAATAATTGTAACGTATTTAGGTGATCTCGCATCATTAAAATGGATCGAGGCGTCGACTTCTCAAAATGTGAAAAATGAAAGCTTGGAGCTGTGCTCTGTTTATTATGCCCCATTAAACTTCCGGGATGTTATGTTAAGCTCGGGAAAATTATCCGCTGATGCTCTTCCTGGTGATTTGGCACAACAGGATTGTGTGCTCGGTCTTGAATTTTCCGGAAGGGATTCTTTCGGTAGACGAATTATGGCAATGGTACCTGCAAAATCTTTAGCAACCACATGTTTGGCTAGTAAGAATATGATGTGGGAAGTCCCCTCAAACTGGACCATGGAAGAAGCATCTACTGTGCCGTGCGTATATTCTACAGTTTATTATGCGTTAATTGTACGAGGAGAAATGAAAAAGGGAGAAAAGATATTAATACATGCTGGTTCTGGTGGAGTAGGCCAAGCTGCTATTTCGGTTGCGCTGCATCATGGTTTGACCGTTTTTACTACTGTAGGTAGTCAAGAAAAACGTGATTTCTTGAAACAACGATTCCCCAAGCTCGAAAATCGTTTTATTGGTAACTCACGTGATACATCTTTCGAACAATTGATTATGAGGGAAACACAAGGCAAGGGTGTTGACTTAGTTCTTAATTCACTTTCCGAAGAAAAATTACAAGCTTCTGTCCGTTGTTTGGGTATTAATGGACGCTTTTTGGAAATTGGAAAGTTCGATCTTAGCAATAATAGCCCTCTTGGTATGTCAGTATTCCTGAGGAACACATCATTCCATGGTATTTTGTTGGACAGTGTAATGGAGGGAGAAGAGGAAATGCAGAACCGTGTTGTCTCCTTAGTTGCTGAAGGTATTATAAATGGGGCAGTGCGTCCACTGCCCACATCAGTCTTTAATGAATTGCAGGTAGAACAAGCTTTCCGTTTCATGGCCTCTGGAAGACATATCGGCAAAGTCGTTATAAAAGTTCGTGATGAAGAACCTGGCAAACAGACATTAAAACCAAGTTCACGACTAGTTAACGCAATTCCACGTACCTATATGCATCCAGAAAAGAGTTATATACTTGTAGGAGGATTGGGAGGCTTTGGTTTGGAGCTCACTCATTGGATGGTTTTACGCGGAGCTAAATATATTGTTTTAACTTCAAGATCGGGTATCAAAACCGGATACCAGACGCTTATGGTACGCCGATGGGAGGACCGTGGAGTTAAAGTGGTTGTGGATACTAATGACGTTACAACTTCTGAAGGCTGCAAGAAATTATTGCAAAATGCAAAAAAGCTAGCACTGGTTGGCGGAATATTTAATTTGGCTGCTGTACTACGAGATGCTCTAATTGAAGATCTAACTGCTGAAGACTACCAAACTGTTTGCAAACCCAAAATTGATGGTACAAAATACCTGGATTTGCACTCTCGTACACTTTGCCCTGAATTGGACTATTTTGTGTGTTTCTCTAGTGTTTCATGCGGCCGTGGAAATGTTGGTCAATCCAATTATGGTTTGGCAAACTCCGCTATGGAACGCATCTGCGAAAAACGGCGAGCTAATGGACTTCCTGGCTTAGCCATACAATGGGGAGCAATAGGTGACACAGGACTAGTATTAGAGGGATTAGGAGATAATGATACTATTATTGGAGGTACACTGCCACAACGTATGAATTCTTGTCTTCAAACAATCGATCTATTCTTGCAACAACCACATCCAGTCCTGGCCTCAATGGTTGTGGCGGAGAAACGGAGTAATGATCCATCTGGTGGTGTAAGTATAGTAGCCGCCATCGCCAACATTTTGGGACTGCGGGATGTAAAAAATATCCAAGATTCTGCGTCGCTCGCTGATCTCGGCATGGATTCATTGATGAGTTCTGAAATTAAACAGACCTTAGAACGTTGCTTCGATATAGTACTATCACCGCAAGAAATTCGAGCATTAACGTTCGGAGAATTAAAACAACTGGATGGTGGCGTTGGCGAAAGGTCTGCTTCAGCAGCTAGCTCAGCTGAAGCTCGCTCACCAACACCTATTGGTGATGGAACGCAAGTAGTTTTTGTAACAGAACTAATGCCGTCTGAGGCTATTATCCGCCTAAAATCAGCTGCACCATCAAACTCAACGAAAAGGCCAATTTTCTTTGTTTCTCCTATTGAAGGTTTTGTGGACGCCTTGAAGGAAGTGGCAGAACGTATGGATTGCCCCGTCTATGGACTGCAATGCACAGCTGATGCGGAACAGGATTCTATTGAATCCTTGGCGAAATTTTATATAAAACATATACGTAAAGTCCAACCTAAAGGTCCATATTCAATTGCTGGGTATTCATTTGGCGCAACCGTTGCTTTTGCTATGGCTGTTGAGCTGGAGCAGAACAAAGAAGAAATCAAATTAGTGTTAATAGATGGTGCACCTAAGTATGTAAACTGGTACACAAAAGCCTTCAAGAAGCGTTATAATACATCCGATGATGAGGATCAGAATCAAGCGTTTGCTTTGGCATATTTTGGCGTTGTTGCAGCTAACACCGGTTATAGTGTAAGTAGTTGGAATTAAGAAAATTGAAGACAAATTCCACTACATATAATTTTTGATTATTATAAATATTTTACCTATTAGATGGCAAAACTACTCGTGGATATTCCAACGTTTGAAGGCAAAGTGGAGAAGTGTGCGGAAATTGTAGCGGACGAAATTGATAAGCCAATTGAATTGGTATATAATTTCCCTTCCATATATATGAATCTCCTTATTTTTTTTATTACACAATATTTTTGAATTTTAGGTAAAAGCGGCAGCCGCCTCGTTTTACTACAAACTGGCTGCATCTGATAAATATTCTGTAACGCATAATTTGCAATGTGACGTAACATTGATTAAGCCAACTGAAAATTATTCAAAGTTGGAAATTGATTATGGCTTAAATGAAGCATGCGATGGCAAAGTTGATGTTCTAATTGTAGAAGGTAACCATCGTACCATTTTGCTGGATGAAGAACCGTTGCAAACAATCGAGGCATCGTTGAAGCGTCTCTTGAATTAGTAGATTAAAACAATAGCCAACACTTTTATTATAACTATGCCACTATGCTTATTTTAGACATTTTATAGGTCATTCACTAAATGTTAAACTATTTTCCTTCGCAACTTATTAGTAATTAAAACTTTAGTCAAATCTTAATGAATTGCTTTTGGTAATTACACAGACTCAAATACACTGAAGGCATGTAAAAATCATAAATTATAATACATTTTCTAGTAATATTGATATTAGCAAGCCTTCACATACATATACATATATGTACATGCGGGAGCGTAAAAATGAATAAAAGCATAATGACTACATATAGTTTTAAAAAAGCTAATGAAGATGTAAACTATGTATGTACTTGGATATTTTTGCATTTTGTTAGTCTCGAATGAAGTAACATAGTTAAATAAAATTGTAATTTATAAACATATGTTTGTAGGAACATTACTCTCTTATTTACTCATGATATACATTAATATTTGATAAGATATATGCAATTTAGTTCTGAAACATTCCTTAAACTAATGCTATTTAATAATTTTCTTATAATATGTAAATATAATTTGGCGACAATAACATATATGCACTTTAATATTACATAAGAAAACTTGTATGACTTCAGCCCAGGTTTTCATCGCGTACCGTACGCGCGGAATTTTGAGTGATATTCTTCACAAATCGGACAGCGTTATTGTCTCTAAAAAGGTATGTATTAAGTAAGGCTAGACGAATCATAGCAAATTTTCCATCTATCTTTGAATCTCGTTCCACGCTGACATGGATAACCATCCTTGACCAGTGGAAAATCTTTAGGTACAAAAATGCCTACCAAATCGACAAAACTACAAAATTTTCTTATCACCAAAACATTGGGCTTTATTTCACTCCAAATTTGTAAAAATATGTACATACACATAAACCTTAGAGGTCTATTAAATTTAATAGAATGCACACCCTTTTCTCGAGGAGATTGCCGGCAGGTGTCTTATTACGAAGTAAGCTCTTAGGCTCAGCGAAAAGTATATGAAGACGTCTGAAAAAAGACCTGATTCCATACCTCCTAGGGATATGTGGATGGGAAGGAGTTGCTGGAGAAGAGCTGCAGTAAGCTTTTTCACGGATGGGTCGGAGCTAGGCGGGAAGGTTTTTTGAGGTGGAGTTTTCTGCAAGAAGCTCTCCGTCAATGTTAGCTATAGGCTACCGGACCACTAGTGTTTTTTAAGCCGAAGCAATGCTTCAAGTTGGCGGTTCTCGTACTGCTAGGAAGTGGAGCCGCTTTCAGGGCGGTGAGCAATTACTCCCACAGCAAAACGGCTATACTCGCAGTGAGCTCGCTAACTGTGCGCGAAAGGTTTGGCAAGAAATATCTGTAATCACTAGAAATAGCATCAAGCAGCTTCAACATCAGATTCACTTGGGTGTCTGCTCATAGTGATTCAATGGACCTCGCGAGCGGTTGGAAGGCACTGGTCGACAACTAACTCCTGTATGACTGCGAGATCGTTGTGACCTAGAGTAGAGCACAGGAGATCTACTGAACTACTTGCCCTTAGCAATCTCTTCTTGCCGCAATAAAAGGGGTTTTTACTGGACACGGTCCGTTTGCACCCATGCGGTGAGACTAAAAATCTTGCCGGACGCTAGTTTTCAAAGTTGTATGGTGAAGGGAGGCACTTTTTCCTCCATTGTCCAGCCCTTGCAAGACTGAGGTTGAAGCATTTCGGCAAACCCACCTTCGGTGAACCAGGAGATATAGCCGTAATTGACATTAGCCGTCTCAACAAATTCGTGATTGTCTCAAAGCGCTTTGCCAAACTGTAAGAGTCTTATGATCTATTATATTGGAGTTTTAGGAACCAATACAGAAATGCGCGAGTATATCAAATTCTTGACACTTTACATCTCAATTTTACAGTTCAACGTAAAACACTAATGGAATTGTACTTAAGTCATTTTGTACACATTGAGCTGACAAGATAGTATCCAATTTTGAGCCATCAAATCTAAAGAGTATCTTTCATGGGCATCTCTTTATCAAGGATGACATGATGCGAGACTCTCTCATTTTCGCTGATTTTTCTGTTATTCTCTTTCCCTGATTATTAAAATCAGGGAATTTCGAACAGCTGATGTCAAAAAAGGCGGGATGCCAGAAATAAACCCGCTAAAAATAGCTAACAAAAGCAGTGCGAAAAGAACGACACAAATACTTTTGAATAACGTGCAACTAAATTTTATTTGTTAATTTAATTTAAAACGTTCATTATAAAACCATGATATTTTGTTATGACTTGTATTGTTTCTTTGTTATAATTTTTTTTATTTATATGCTAATTTTTTATGTTATATGCATTTTTAAAAATTTTATAATATAAATACAAGTATATAGGGATGTATATGCGTTATATAGGCCTACTTGGGGACGGAGCACCTAAAAATAATATCGAAATGCAAAATACCCCCAAGTTTTTTTTATAATACCCAATCCATTTTCGTTCGACAGTGGCATGATTGGCAAATGTTATAAAAAATGTGGGTTTTGACAGCTCTCTCTCGATTCAAAGAGTCTCGCATCATTTCATCCTTGTCTTTATCTCTGCCCAACTCGTCTCTCACTGGAAATGAGAGCGGAATTGATAAACGTCAAAACCTACTGAACTCAAGCAACTGTCAAAGTTCAGTAGGTCTGACGTTTAGCAATTGGTAAAAGAGGGACGGCCAGATTGAAATCCTGCAAAATTGTTATTCGAATGGAGACATTTTTCATATTTTGCTCTTCATTTGTAACGGCCGTTATTTCGAAGAATAACATAAGAAAAATAGCACGCAGCTTGTGTACATGTAAGTATATTTTAATTTTTATTAAATAAATTAGCATTTATTTAATAATTTTTAGCTTTATTTTACAGCCGAAATGCCAAAAGTGAATTGGAAGAAGTGTGTTGCTGGCTGCAGCGAGGAAGGACGTACATTCAATTTTCCGAATGAGGGAACGGATCTCGAACGGTCAGTAAATCAAAAAATCAGTTAATTAAATAGTGCAAAAAGTGTGTTAAATGTGTGATAATATTCCCAAAAAGTGTTTAAAAAAGTTTAAATAATTGTAAAAAGTGTTAAAATATAATTCGATAGTTTTCGATATATTAAAATTTAAAAAATTAATTTTTTGAAGTAACGACTGTGCGCATATCATAAATTATTTTGGATGTGCTATTAAAAATACAATTTAAATTGTAGTTCTGCATATATTTAAGTGCAAAAGTGATCAAAAAAGTTTTTAAAAATAATTGTAACAAGTGTTAAAATATGAGGTTCGATAGTTTACGATTTATCTAAATTTAATTCTAAAATTATTTTGAAGTAACGACTTATCGTTGAATATTTATGATAATTATAAAATAACTATCTAAATTAAATATCGGTACGTCTTTATTAAAATAAAAGTTTACTTGTTTTGCCATTTTTTGCACTATTATAATTATATATATTTTATATTATATTATTTTATAACTTACGTATATAATTTTTTTTCTTTTAATAGGCGTAAATGTTATCTCAGACGTTTAGGTGTTTCTGAAAGATTTAATGAAGAAACACCTAAACACATTTTTGCATGTGAACGACATTTTTCCGAAAAAATGCGCCACGCAAAAAAATTGCGTCCGAGGGCCGTTCCCGACATTAATTTAATTGTTGAGCCTACATTTAACGCCTCAAATTCTTTTTTTGAAAACCCCATAGAACTGGGTTTTGAAGATTTCGCTCCCCAAATGGAAGAATCTGCCTCAAATGCAAACGGTGCAGCGAGGCAGCTTCTTCCGCTTTTAGAAAGGGAAGACTGCGAAATAATTTTAGAGCCTCTTCCATTTCTTGAGGAGGAACTATTAAATAGTACCGATAAAGCCGCGCAAACAGGTAGGGGTCTGACAGCAGGGACAGATAGGAAGAAGAAATTGAGGGAAGAGAATAGGATTTTAAAAGTAAAATTAGATGAAAAAGAAGTTTAAAGGCTCAATTGGTCCAAATGGCCACTGAATTAGAAAGATGTAGGGAAATGTTAAGAAGTGGTTCATTTAGGGAAGAGTCAGATCCTCTTGAGATAGTTTGCAGCAAAGTTCCTCCTCAGTTAGGTGCTTGTATTAGAAGTAGTTTTATAAATAGTAATCGCCGTAACCACGGTCGGCGTTATGATAATTTTCTTAAAACGATAGCTTTGGGTGTATTTTTTTTGTCGCCAGTTGCTTATCGTCACTTAAAGCACCAGTTAGATTTTCCCTCCAAAAGTACTTTGGAAAATTTTGTTACCGACTGGCCTCGTTTCCCAGGTTGCACCCAAAGCAGCATAAAATCGTTAGAGATTAGGAGTAGGGGATTCTCTTTTGAACAAAAGTTCGTGTCGATTTCATGCGATGAAATGTCATTGAAATGTCATTTGCAGTATGATAGGAAATTTGATAGGATAATAGGTATTGAAGATTATGGTGATGAAAATCGCACTTCGAGATTGACAAAAGTGGCAACAAAGGTTTTATCGATTTAAAATATTTCACAAATCTAAAATATTTTTCCGTGGCTCGCAAAAATCTTCGTCAATATGTAGGCATGTTCATGTAAAAACATACATACCTACAATGATTTGTGGGCAAAGCTGTTAGAGCTTCAAGGGAAGCGATGACAATCGGCGAGCGTTCGTTTATTTTTCGGCACATCTCGGATTTTCTACCAACAACACAATGTTGTGACGCTTTGTCGTCGCGTCAGTCCTTCGGCAGATTGACTCTTTGACATAAAAGCAAAGAACGTGAGCTTCGATCATTGGTTGACCGTGTCATATCTACATACATATGTTGTTTGTAGACAAATTTACAAATATTTTTTACACATGATATGAAAATGCCGACGGCAAAACACAATTCTGTACTTTTATGACTCCATAATGGTGTCAAGCACTTGAATTATTTTAAGAAATATATCAAAATACCTATGTTTAAATTATTATTAATAACTCACAAGAAAGTAAAAATGAATTAACATAAAATAATTTAAAATCGGTCGCTTCTGGTAAAGGAAACTGTGAGCTGCCTTTAGAACCTGATGCTACAGTAATTTCAGAACATAGTAATAATGTTCTACTTAATGTGTGCAATGATTTACTTTAGAACGACCTTTCATGGCAGGATTTTCAAGGCTTACCACGGCCTGAACACTTCCTCATTAGATCAATTTCTTTAGATAGTACTTTAGAAATTAACTTTTTAAAAGAAAATGCTTTTAGTTATTTTTGCGGCTATCTTTATTTAAAATTTTTCAAAATGCACTAATGCTCCCTTCCATTACCTTATTTAGGAGATGAAATTCCTTTGGACGAATTCATCTTCATTTATCAAAATCAAATAGACAAATGCAATTTAGTGAAGCCGTCTCAGAAGTTTGTTGCATTTGTAAAAGTCTTGGAAACAAAATTTTTAGAATTCGATAGTAATTGTCATAAGATAGGAATAGGAGACATTCTTTTTAATGAAATGATGAACAAAAGCAAAAAACAAAAGATAACAATTCACAGATTAATCCATATAAAATAAAATATCACCTATACAATAAAATATT